ATATACATATTCTGATGGCTGTAGACAGGAAGTATTTCTTGTAAACGTCCATCCCACAATGGATCCTAAGAAACAGGCTGCAGATGCCATCCGATCCGTCCACCAAGACTCGGCTGTCTTCTCGGTTCTCCCAGGCTGTAGGACCGCCCGAATGCTGGGCAGAACTCCTCCCAGAGCGATGGCCACTCCTCCCAGCAGTCTGCCGAGCTCCTCGTTGCTGCGGACAGCCAACTATAGGTGCTGATGGACGATCCTGTCCTTCCGCTGTCATGAGCCATGTTTCCTGCTAGTTCCAGGATCTCAGTGGTCAGGCACTCGAGCACAGCTGGCAGGTAGATGAGAATGCATCCACAGAACATCCTTTCAACTCATTTGAGATTTGGGGCTGTAGTTGAGATATTATTTGAGCTTTTGAGATGTTATTCAGCTGCTGTTGGTTGTAGAAAACTGCCTTGTTGCCATGGTTACGTATCATAACAAATGTCCAAAACTAAAAAAAAAAGTTTCAGTAAAAATCCTTCTAGCTAAACAGCATCCGATACCAGAGGAAACAATCATCCAATAAATGTGATTTACATCCAGAAAAAGATGAATTCATGTTTCCAAACGCAAAATCTCAGAATGAAAGTAAGAGAGCTGCTCCAACATGCAGCCACCTTGAGCGGCGCAATTCTAGAAATCAACTTGGATTATATATATATACATTCCATTTTTTCTTCTATTTCCCCCCCCCCCCCCTCCTTTGCCTTTCCAAGTATATGTACTGTATCTATTTCAAAAGTAAGAAAAAAAAAAGATACCTCCTGTTGGTGGTGTCTACATAGTGGCCCCTCCCTGTGGTGGCCCCTGAAAACCCTCCTTCCTGTAACCAGCCTTTGTATGAATAAACATGAGCCCCTGGTAGCTCTGGACTGGGACCTGTTTCGGTGTGGCTGGATCGCTCCAGCGGATTCAACTGGGGAGCTTTCACCGGGGGATTCCTCTGCCCAACAACTTTCAGAGAAAAGACTACAGCTCAAGCTTTCCTGCTCACACGGAGGGAGAGCATGGCTGGGGCCCCAAGTGTTAAAGGGCCCTTTCTCGTGGTGCTCCTGCAGTTTGTCCTCATTTGCTCTTCACAAGTAAGACTTTTCACATTTCTTTCTGTCTGTTTCTCTGTGTTTCAGACTGATGGCACAAGGTGCAGGTAAGTGTTCTCCTGCTGACTGTGCCAAAAATCAAGACATTATTTCTTATGATTGTAATGAAATGTTGAGATTTTCTTAATAAATTACTTTTGCATCAGTTTAAGAAAAAAGTATGGCATTAAAATTTGTTTCTTTTGTGATCATTTTTATTTGCATCATGCAAATTCTCTCAAATTACTTATCAGATGCAAGGCAATACAGTTTTATTTTCTACAAACAAAGAACATTGTGCTGCATCTGTTTCCTTTTTTTTCTATATTACCACTGAAGCTGTATATTTTAAACAAAAAATGGAACAAAACTGGATTTTTTTTCTCCTGAAATCTGACTGAATGTTTTATGATGATCTCTTTTTTTTTTAAACAGAGGAATCAAGGACCCCCTGGCCCTCCAGGACCCCCAGGAGTCCCAGGAATTGATGGAATTGCTGTAAGTCCTTTCAGTTTTGCAACACTGCACACATATATTTATCTGGATACTTTAAAAAAAAAGTATCTTTAAAAAAAAACATACTCTGTCATTTTATTTTAGGGGGAAAGGGGTGACGATGGCAAGGATGGTCCTCCGGTAACTATCAAATTTAATAAAATCTTTCATGCATTCTTGTGCTTTTTGCTTGTTTTAGTGAGATATTCATATATGTGGATCTCTGATCTTAGGGACCTGATGGGGATGCAGGTAAACCCGGTTCTTCAGGATTACCTGGAATTCCTGGAAAAGACGTGAGTAGTTTGTGTTTTACGTTTTGTTCTGTCTGTCTTTGCTGCATTGTTGGTTATGATGAGGTCACCTTTCTGTTAGAACCTGCTAGGGGGAGGAACCAGAAGTGAGATCCTCCCATCACAGAGGTCATGTTTCCACACAGAATTGTCCTAAAATGACCAGTGAACATTCAGATGTGTGTGTGTGTGTGTGTGGGGGGGGGCTTCATGTGGAAATAACAGCAAAAATGCAAGGAATTAATTTGAACAGGACAAGTAAATCCAGGAGAAACTAAAGTAATTACCTTTGAGGACTATGAGTATTTAAGCAAATATACCTTGAAAACACAAAGTCTCTTTAGAAGGTTAACTTATAAAAGGATCTGTAGGTGAATAAAGCATAATTTAAGATTCATTGCGGGAAAATCTATTTATATAAGACAAAAAGTCTGGGTAAAATTTACACATTTGATGTATTACAATCCGGTGTTTCTCTGAATAATAATCAACAAGGTTCTGAAAACAGTAGGAGCTTTGCTGGCAGTGGTCTCTGCTATGTTCTGTTTAAGAGTGTTGAACGATTTCTTTCCACGGCGTTGTTTAAAACGAGACAGACAAGAATGTTTTCTTGGTTAGCATTCTGTGAGTTGAGCCCTCGAACCTGCCATGGACCCATTTTTGCTTAAAGTTTGATCTAATCATAAACTTGACTAAACTTTCTTGCTTGTTTTTTTGCAAACAAACTATTTTTATTCCCACAAACTTTACACTTCTTGAGAAAAACTATGCATTAAAACGCAGGTAGGCAGTTTCAGTTTCTTTAAACTACCGTATTTTTTCGGACTATAAGGCGCACTTAAAATCTTTTAATTTTCTCAAAAATCGACATTGAGCTTTATAATCCGGTGCGCCTTATGTATTAATTCTGGTTGTGCTTACTGACCTTGAAACAATTTTATGTGGTACACGGCTCTCAAAAATCTGTCAAAATGAACTTGATTCGCTTAATGCGCCTTATAATCCGGTGCGCCTTATAGTCCGAAAAATACGATAATGTGTCTTTCATTTCTGTAAGTTTTAGTGTTTTTCTCTCAGAGTGTAAAGAGGCACAATAAAGCTTCCATGAACTTGCACTGTATGAGCTCAGAATTTTCTTATTGAAATTGAAAACTTCTAGTTAACATACAAAAAGTTTCCCTCTGCTGAAAATGGTACAAATATACATCTTGATGACATAGTATTCAAACATGAACAGTTTGCACTAGGCTTAATTTTTACACTGCGTTTCTGGCTGTCTTTTTGACGTTTTTTCAGGGCGTAAGAGACTCGTGTGTGTGATTACTATACTGACGCTGATGAGGCCACTGGTAGCAGCTTTAACATTTCTTTTGATCTTGGTTCTCTTTACACTATTTTATAGCATTTATTCATCAAAACGCAGGCATTTTATCTTATATTCAGGCATATTTTATTTATTGGCACCCTTCAAAAAAACTTATTTAGAAATTTTCAAGAAGGGTTATGACGACCTTTCATGCTGACGCCTCATGATGTCTAAATATTAAACAGATTTGTTCAACTCACAGATTTGAAACATAAAGTAAGAACACAATGATGCCAGTTTGTTGCAGATTCCCTCATGCACTCATTTGTCTGGATGTGGTTTTGTTGCAGGGTTTGACTGGCCCCATTGGAGATCCTGGGCCTGACGGGCCCCCGGGACAGAAAGTGAGTGACTAATGAGCCTTTGCTTTCCCACTTCAGAGGGTGTCAGTGAAACGGTGCCAAGCTGCTGTCCAGCCTTTTGGCGGGGCAGCGAGCTCTGCAGTGCGTAAACAAATTCCTTCTGACAAATGAGACTTAATCCAGCAAGTCTTCTGTGTAATCCCTGTGGGGCACGTAGCCCCAAAAAGTCTCCTAATTAGGCCAAACATCACTGGGTCAAGTGTGCTTGGTTTAGTCATATGATGTGATGAAGGAATGTTGATTTGGACCGTCTGTAAGCTTGCACTGCTCAATATTTAAAAAAAAATTCTGGATGTGTCTGCAAATTTCAGTGCAAGTTACATTTATTTTTTATTATTTAGGGTGAACCTGGACAATCTGGACCTCGTGGAGCAGCTGTGAGTAACATCTTCTTTCTAAATAATCCAATCTAAGACTCACACCAATATCTTGTCTATTGGTCTCGAAACATTACCCATCACACTGACTCATACAATATTTGTCTTTTTAGGGTGTTGGACCAGATGGACCCATTGTAAGTAATTGTCAAATACACAAATAATTCTTAAATTAGTTGTGTCAGTATTGTGGAGTCCAATAAATGTGTCTTTGAACAGGGATCACGAGGACCTGGGGGACTTTTGGGTGAAATAGGAAAAGTTGGACCACCTGTGAGTAAAAAAAAAAAACAAGAGATGGACTGATTTAAATTAGGTCTACAATCTATAAATGACACTGCGGTAGCTAAAATCATAAGCCTCTGTAGTGAGTTGGTGTTGCCCAAGAAACAGACCATTAACAAAGTAACAACAGTGATTTAAATCCTACTTATAAGCATCATTAAAGCTCATCTTAAAAAAGATGGAAAGCGTGCTGCAAAACTATAATCAAATACAGTTCATGTAAGCAGGTTGTACCTGTAGTGAAATTAATTGTAAGTTGTAGCATCCATCCATCCATCCATTATATTTTACCTGCTTCTTCCATTTTGGGTCACGGGGGTCGCCCATGTCCAGCAATCATTGTGCGAGGGGCGGGGTACACCCTGGATGGGTCGCAAGTCCATCACAGGTACACAAATGAGACAAACAACCATTCACTCTCTCATTCACACCTAGGGACAATTTAGAGTTACCAATCAGCCTAACATGCATGTTTTTGGTCTGTGGGAGGAAACTGGAGAACCTGGAGAAAACCCATGCATTCACGGAGAGAACATGCAAACTTCCCACAGAAAGGCCTCTGGACTGAGATTTGAACCAGGGACCTGCTTGCTGAGAGGCAACAGCTCTAACAGTTACGCCACCGTGCTGCCCTAATTTGTAATATTTCTTTGAAATGAAAAAATAAATAAATAACTGATGTGGGATACTTTAAAAACACATATATGCAAATGCATACATAACACCACATAACAAATCTGCAACCAAAAAGTGTTGTGTTGGGTGTTTTCTACTTATCCATCACACTCCGACCAAAGACTTTAAAATAGAAGCAAATTGTAAAATAAAAATTAAAATAAATAAAAAAATACTGGAGAAATTGCATCAGTTGTTTGTTGTATTGTTATGGTCAGTGGTGGGCACAGCTAACCAAAAAGCTACCTTTGCTAACCCACACTCAGCTAACTAAAAAAATAGCTTCACTAACATTAAACTGCTAAACAGGTTACCGGCAAGTTGCTAAAATTCCATTAAAATTAGTGGAAGCTAACGTTAAACCGCTAATTGCTGAGACGACTTTCACTCAGTCTGTGTCAGACATCTTTGTCTCCTTCCAGTTCAAGCTGCGTCGACCAATCACGTCTTGGCATGTGTACACATAGTAAAGGCTCTCACATACTCAGGTGTACAGTGTGTGCTCCGTGAGGCACGCGGACACTGTGCACACTGTCCGCAGACGGTTGAGACTTCATACTCGAGCGTACACCCTGATGGGCTGCAGCCCAGCTCCGCAGGCAAGGGGCGTTTACCTTCAGGACAAATTGAGGTCGCCGATTGGTCATTTGTTGACACGCCTACTGGATTGATTGACAGGTCAAATTGACAGGTTGATTGACAGGTTATATGTTGTGAATAAAAAGTTCTAAAAAAAACAAACAAACAAAAAAAAACCCGGTAGCGCTGGCGCTGCAGCCCACACATCAGACCGGCCCACTGGGAAATCTCCAGACCCTCCTGCAGCCACGTTAGACCTGATTTTAATACTCTTATGACAAATTCCTTCATTTCTCACAATTTCAGTCATGGAGTCAACGGACGAGGAGGAAGACATCGCTTGCTTCTTGGCAAAAAAACAAAAGAAAAGGCTATTAAAACAGACCAGGAATGAAGAACGGGAACTTAATACATTGGTGTTGCATACAAAACAGTCCATCGTCGGGCAGTTTACTGCGCGACACCGAGTACACGTAAGCAGTCATAAAAAATTATCTTAGCGTGGACATGGCTTAGGGCGTCCGCTTCGAGTCCGCGCTGAGTCTAATCCAGTACGTGTGGACCTCTGCGGAGTGAAGTACGCAAGAGTATGTGGGAGCCTTAATCACGTGTCACACAATAACTGAGCCAACCACTGGTTATGCTTTTTTATTTTATGTATTTTTAACACAATTTCACCTTTTGGTCATACTTTTTTATATTTTATTACATGTTATTAGGTGTATATCTATAGTTACCTTAATTTCCGGTCTATAAGCCACTACTATTTTCAAAAGCTTTGAACCCCCATGGCTTATAAAATACAGCGGCTAATTTATAGATTTGTTATTTTGACGGGCTAACAAGCTTCCTGCCACCAAAACATTTTGCCTTGTCACACTTGGGTTCTCACAGAGCTGCCCAATGCACATCTCTCTGGGGCGGGGGGAGGTGCTCTCATGACTCAGTGAGACTACCTGTATAAATAAAGATTTAAAAAAAATCTGACCTACAAAATTACTGAACGGGTTACAGTGGACCAATGAAATGTGGAGGGGATGCCATTTAAACAGCGAGAAAGGAGAGAAGGGGAATGGGGGATGTAAAAAATAATTTACTGTATGTATTTGTGTATGTTACCGGTATGTATTTAATAAAAAAAAAAAAAAAAATCTTTCTGTGTAACTACCTCATTATAACGTGGACATCTGCAGCTTATAGATAAGTGTGGCCTATATATATATATACAAAATTATTATTCTTTTAAATTTATTTAGTGGGCATGGCTTATATGCGGGTGTGCTCAATAGTCCGGAAATTACGGTAAATTCTGAGTTTTAACGTGTTTTAATTTATAACTTTAAATATCGATTCTTTGTGATTGAAATTTACGATCAAGCTTTTGAACGTAAAACTAACCTCTTACTTTAATGTTAAAATAATTATCAACAAAATGCACTTTCAAGTTGAATCAAAATTTCTTTGTCAAAGCTCTGGTGCTTTAAAAATCCAGGTTAGCTTTGAGGTGGTTTATATTGCTTGAAAGTGGAGCTGTACATCTGATGAACCTTGCAAGGAAAATTGTAAATCTTTTTTGATTAGATGAGACATACATTATTATGCTTTATAGTTATTTTCTAACACATTTATGTTTTTTTTTTCTACAGGGGACCATGGGTGTGATAGGGCCTCAGGGACCTCGTGGACCAGCTGGGCCTAGAGTAAGTGACAAAACCTTTCTGATACGATTTTCAGATTTTTCCCCATATTTTACTAGATAATTAGCTAGATTAAAGAGTGAAATTACCTCTTTGTGTTAGTACTGAGATTACAGAATTTGTTATGTGTATTTTAAAGCCCATTATCTGTGTTTTATGGGTAGATATTGGCCTAAAGCTAATTCTTTTTAGCGACAGGTCTGATCCTGCTAAAAGATGGTCTCTTCTTGGTGATGATGTCACAAATGATGTTGATAACTCAGAAAATCAATAGTTAGCCAATCTTTTTCTCAATTTCAGGGTGCAACTGGAGTGCTGGGTGCTACTGATCTGGTAAAATATTAATTTATTATCACCCACTGCCATGAAAAGGAGGCCATATTGTTATTTCCTGTCTCTGCCCGTGTTCGTTTGTGGTGTTTACAAAATATTTTATGAACCAGAACCACTAGACAGATTTAAATGAAACTCTCAGAAAGTAGTGAGTGAACTCTCATCTGCACTTGCTTAACTTTTGGAGACAAAGTGATTCAAGATGGCTGCCTAAGCTGATCAACCTCAGCAAAAAAAACAAAAATGACTTAAAATCACCTTTACATATTTTGAGCTAAGGTTTTTGTGTGATAGTATGCGAGTCATCCTAAACATACTCAGATGTTATATATGTTCATGTGAGCTCTTTGTGGAAAACCTTGTCATTAACTGTTGGAGTTAACACGGTCTGTCTGTTAGCAAAATATCTCATGAAACACTGGAGAAATTTTAATAAAATTCTCAGAAGGTAAAAATGAAATGGCCATGTATGGATTACTTTTGAGGTCAATCTGATTGGAGATGTCTGAAACTGCTAATTAACTGCAGAAAACACAAAGATGGTTAAAAGTCCGTCAGTTTTACAGATGCTGAATAAATACAGGGGGTTCTGGGGGTCCTCCCCCAGAAAATTTTGAAAAAAGTAGATGTGATCTCTTGCATTTTGGTGTGTTTTAACGAGTTGTTCTATGTGCTTTAAAAAAAAAAAAAACATATATATATATATATATATATATATATATATATATATATATATATACATACATACATACATACATACATACATACATACATACATACCGGTATATATTTATTTACATTAGGCCTTTATTATAAATAAAATAAATATATACCGGTATGTAATTATCATCATTGCTTGTGATTTTGCATCTACTGTCAGGAATACTTACAGACTCATTTTGGTATTTAGTGTCCAAACTCTTGTCCGCCTGGTACCTCTGGACACCCTGGCCTTTCTGGTATGAAGGTGAGAAGAAGAAATTTTTATTTTATCTAAAATTCATCTATCTGAACATGTTTTTTCTTTAACCTTTGCTTCGTTTCTTCTCTAAACGCTTCAAGGGCCACAAAGGAGTAAAAGGTGAAGCAGGAGAGCCGGGGAAGCAGGGACACAAGGTAACATAATTTCATTTAAAAATAAAAAAAGGGTCACAAATTCAATCAAATCAAACAAATTAATATAAAACTACTTTATCCAAGTTTATTTAACCTATGATACATCTGCATAAAAAGCTTCTTCATACAAAGTAGATGTTTCACATGTTCCATATCAGAATACACAACTCTCAACACAATTAGAGTTTTTCTGCTGTTGTATTAACAGGAACAGCGATCCCACTCTGTGATTTTGTCCTCAATCATTTTGCAGTGCACACAGTGATATATTTGAAATGACTTTTCAGCACAACAGTTCTCACCTGGTGATGTGTCCATGCACTATATAAATGGAAATGTCTAGTCCCATCTGGTCTCATCATCTTCACACCAGAATATGATTTGATGTCGTTCAGCTCTTCATCACTCTCACATTTTTCCTGCTTGACTAAAAGTTTCATCTGTGAGGTCTTTTCCCTGCCTTCTGTTTACAATAGGGATGCACAATATTGGATTTTTGGCCTATATCCGACACGCCAATATGTTAAAACTTATTTGGACAATAACCGATACCAATACTGCTTTTTTCCCCCCTAGACCTACTTACAGAGACTATACAGCTTTTTCTGCTGTGGAATTAAAATACTGCATTATTCTACATAGTCTTTGTCAGTTTGGCCTGCTACCAAATGCAGATACCATAAAGGCAGCTGAAAATGATGTAACACTTCAACTTGTATTATGTTTAATGTCAAATATATTCTTGAGATTTACTCTCTCTAACACAATGACAACACTCGAACAGTCATACAAAAACAGTGCCTTATAAACATATATATATATATATATACAGTATATATATATATATATATATAT